AGGGAAAATTCCTTTAGTTGGTGGTGAAAATTTCAATGTGTTGCAACCGACAAGTTTTGGATGTATGTCAAGTTTATGTACTTATTTTATGAAGCCACACTTGGTTAGTACTTCTAGTGGAGAAAATTCCAACGTTCATGATCAGATAGTATTACCAGTAGGACGTACACATGAAATCTTATAACATCAAATCTTTGTCAAAGCGTTTAGCTATACGGATGAATCAGAAAAGGTATTAGATGTGTGAAATATAATGTTTTGTATGTCAAGAATTGTAAGTTTTTATACCAACCTAGAGCTGACCTAAAAAAATTAGGAAAATTATCTCAAATATTAATAGCACTATTTCTGTAGCGAACAATCCCATATTATATCGATATTTTTTCGATACTGTCGAAATTGCCTCATTATTTCCATAGCAAATAGTTCCATAGAATCTTGATGTGACATTAATCAATATTTTGTCGATATAGTCTATTTACTACTGTAATAATAGTGCTATTTGGGAACTTCGCTAATAGTGGTGTTTGAGAGCATTTCCGTATAAATTAATATACAACAAAATACATAACAAAGAAAACCTGTTTGGTAGCCATATTTTTAAAAACTTAAACTCAAGAACAACTACAAAACACCCCCATTATTAAAAACAAAAAATATCTGTTTTTTCAGTTTTTTTCTAACAATTCACAAGTTCTCAAATTTTTAAGATTTGAAAACAGTTTTCAAGTTTCATACCAAACAAGTTTTTGAATCTTAAAAACAGATTTAAGAACTCCTTGTTTTTAAGAAAAATCCAAGTTTTTGAGTTCCCTATTTGAATAGAATACCAAACGCCCCCTTAGTTTTTTGGTGGCTGATTGCTTGCATTTTTAGTATTGTGTCATGTTAGGAATGTGCCCTAAAGTCAATGACGGGCAGTAACACCTCATCTATGTATTATGTTCATATTAATAAATTAAAAAATGTGTTTCATCCCAAAACATCCCTGAGGTTTACGAAAATATTAATAGCATTCTAAAATTATTGAAGAGACTGTTAGAGATGCTCTTAGTGGCACATTTCAACTTAAAAATGGGCTTTTGAATGATTAAGAAGATAAAACTTTAAATTTCTAGATCCACCGAAGTTAGCCAAAAAGCAATTTCTACCATTTATAATCATAGCAACAGTAGTATGATAATAATCATAGCAGCATAAAACTCTTTAAACTTTTGAAATTATCCTTTGACCTAATCTCCACAGCTTCCTCAGGAGGCACTAGTGTCTTCTTAACACCAAAATGATGGTAATACTATCAGATCGCTTGTTGCACGGTATATTGAATTTACGATCAAATTATAAAACGTAACACGGTGTATTGAATTCACTCCAATGATAAAACGTAACACGTATAATGAGTTCATAGTTACACATCCATGGTTGAGTGTCCAATTACAATATTCCTATAAATTCCATGGTTTGAGAGTTCTGGAAGCAAAATTATTGCGGCATAAACTAAAAACAAATGTACAAAAACAAGTCATGAAACATTGGAAAGCCAAGGTAAATAAAGCATGATCTCCATGATGTATTTATACATCATATACAAATATATTCGCATTCAGTTCAAGTCCCATCTCTCATTTACAAAACTTCTAGTATGATTTCATGTGCTCAGCAGTAACCACAAGGGAACAGTTGGGTTTCTTGTTTGTCCTTGATGTAATTTGGAACTTGAGCAACTACTGCTAAAGAGAGAGTTGGCAAGCAAAGCTTTCTCCAAATCTCCAGTCGTTCCTCGCTGGAGAAATGAGAGTACGTAATTCATGAAGAGCGAGTCACATGGCAAGATAATTGGCCCACGACCACTTGAGAGGCCAAACTCTTCTTCAGACATCTTGAAGAGCTCTTGGAAAATGCAGTTTGAGAGATAGGATAACGGCAGTACGAAACGGCCTCCGTCAATGGTGTAGATAACAAAAGTTCCCTTTTCACCCACCATATTATTCAGCATGTTGTTGGTAGCTGCTCTTGGCGATGAATTTTTGTTCCTCCCCATAGCATCTCTCTTCTGCCACTTGCTAGCAATTCTAATGAGCCTCTTGGGACTGATTATATTGTCCATGGAGATGAATGACCAAATTGAGCCCTAAAAGCAACTTTTTGTTTTCTAGAATGCTAATGATGAGTGCTATGGTTGTTGAATAATTGGGAATATGGGTTTCCTATTTATATATGTTCTCTATAAAACACTTGTTGAAGTGGGGAAAATGGGTTTAGTTTGGTGGTGAGAATATCAATGTGTAGCAAAACAAACGGGTTTTGGATGCTTTAAATTATGTCAAGTTATGTCTTGTTTTTTGGATAGTTATTTATCATATTAAAGCCGCACGCCAAATGAATATGTGAAGTTTATTTTGTAAAGCCGTACATGATTAGAGAATTCTTTTGGTTACCTTGTATGGAGAAAATTCCAATGTTCATATAATGTCATGTGCCTTAAGGACACAACATATGATATTCGTCGTTCGTTAGTATTATCAGTTGGTAACTACCCTTTTGTTCTTTTCTTTAGGGCTGGTCATTTGTACCGAAAACCCGACCGAACCGGCCGAACCGGACCGATTTTGGCGGGTTAGTTCGGTTTTGTAACTAAAATTATTGAAATCGGCAGAAAAATCGGCCGACCCGATGGTGAACCGGTTTTGAACCGGTTTGAATTTTTTAAAACCGGCGAAACCCGAACCGGACCGCTTCTATGTAAATTGCGTAAAAATCCAGAAAGTGCGCGCACAAGGAGAATTGAACTCTGTTCAGAGTTCGGATGCAAGGCCCAAATACCACTGGACTGATGCGTCATCTTATGCAACATGTGTATAATTGTAGTATTTATTACAATGTAAAAGAATTAAAAAGACATTTAGAAAAGAGTTAGGGTTTCCCCTGCCCCACAAACTCTCCTTTTATTTTTCTTTTCTCCCAGCCGTCATTCTTCTTTCTTCTTCATCCCGCCCTGCGCGCTGCTTCTTCTTCTTCTTCTTCTTCTTTCGTTCTTCTCTCCATATTCTTCCTTGGCTTCTTCTTCTTTTCTTCTTCTTCCTCCCCATACCCCCCAACGACGAAGTGGTCCTCAAGCAATCCTCTGCCGTCGATACTCGCCGAACCAAACCGCACCGCACCGACTTCTCGGCGTGCCGATTTCAGTCGGTTTTGCATCTTCTCGGCGCGGCGGCGGTCTACAAAATATGTACGCCGACGACCTCTGGTTCTGTGGTCGTCAACTCTTCCCAGCCCCGGTTATCGA